ATTGTCTTTTTTCACCACTGTGTCCTTAAGTTCCTAGAACTATGCTTGACACATAATGGGAGCCTCATTGTTATTTGTTGAGTGAATGAAAAAAATGAATGAATGTCTAAGCTGCCAAATTATGAGTCTCTACAATGGAAATTATATCATACTCATCTCTCTCTCTTTTTTTTTTTGAGTTGGAGTCTCACTCTGTCACCCAAGCTGGAGGGCAGTGGCATGCTCACAGCCACCACAGTCTCGACCTGCTGGGCTTAGGTGATCCTTCCACCTCAGCCTTCCAAGTAGCTGGAACTACAGACACATGCCACCATGCCCAGCTAATTTTTGATTTATTGTAGAGATAAGGTCTCGCCAAGTTGCCTGGGCTGGTCTCGAACCCATGGGTTCAGGCAATCCTCTCACCTCAGCCTCCCAAAGTGCCAGGATTATAGGTGTGAGCCACTGTGCCCAGCCATCTCTATATTTTTAAGAGTGCTTTACACAAAATATTGCTCAGGAAATATCTATTGAATAATTATTAAATGAAGAAGTGTTCTTGAATTAACTACATTCTTACTGGCTCAACAGTTTTGATTGTGTGGCATTTGTACCGGGGCATTGTCAACATAGTCAGATATAATATGAGCTCTCATTTGTTGAAGTAAACTGAAGCAGAAATTCCTCCTAATTTAAAGACTTCCGTTTTTCCCCATCTTTGGAAATGTCTCTAGACGATCTGGCAGACTAGGAAACATGTTTAGCAAATCTGCTTCCTGATAATCTACAGCTGAACTGGGAGTTTGATCCTCTCTCGCTCTACAGAGACCTGCGCTCCCAATGACAACGCCTTCTGAATTCTGATCTGTTAACTAGGAGTATGTTTGTGGGACAGAGCACTTGAAATTGAAATGATGTCAGAAATCCAGACTCTGCTGTTGGGGTAAACCACAATGTAAAACACAGATGTAAAGGGCCAAAGGACCAAGGAGTCCTGTTTTTTCACAGCTGCCCATGAGAAGTGGGAGCTCCATTATGAAAGCAGTGGCCATAGTTCTAGATCACTTTTGTCAAGAGTGACAAAATTGAGTGTTTTTTTCAGCCTTTACTGGAACCACTTTTTGCTAAATGGGAGACTGGGTCTGACTGGATCTGGCAATTAACAATCTCTAGGGTTTATAGCAATAACCAAACTAACAATTTATTGTTTCTTTCTCCCTATAGAAAAGAAGTAAAGTGAAACTTTAAAGACTAAGTACCAATAAACTTCATCACAATAAAAGGAAGTTTAGAACATCTGCAAGGGCTTAGAAGGCTCATGATGGTAGAAAAATCTCTAGGAATGAGGAAAGAACAGACTGTCCCTCACCTGCAGGATTTAGGCTGAGGTGGAAGCCCTGCTCTCCAGCGCTTAGTGTGAGAAGAGGTGGTCTTCCTTTCTGGTGGCTTAGTCTGACCAGAAAGACCTGTTTTGGGGTACTCGTAGTCTCAGAATGGAGGCAAAGCACAGCACCAGAAACCATGGGCAATTCTCAGTTATCTTGGCAACAGGGACGAAGCAAGGATATTAAAAGCCACCTTGTAATTTCTCCAACAGTTTTGGAGGGTTTCAGATTATTTATTTCAATTATTTTACCTTCCCAATTTCTTCCCACTAGAGCTGATGGAGAAGTGGCAGGTAGAGTAATATGGTCTCAGGTTTAATATTATCCGTGTAGACTATCTAACATAGAAGGTAAGACCAGTAGAACTCATCACTGAGGCTTGATCTGAACTATGAGAATAGCCTTGCTTCACACAACTCACTGAAGAGAAGGATGAGGAAGTGGGAAGGAAATGTTGTATGGCCCCAGAGAAAACCTCATTACAAAGAGCTGAGCTACTCAGTGTGAATCTGGATTAGGCTGGGAATCAAAGCAGATTTTATTCTGTTTTATTCCAATCCTCTTCTGTTTTTTTCCCCCACTCTCTCACATCAGTTTTTGAAATTGAGTGATATTAAGCATTTATTGTTAATTTTTAAGTGATAATGATTTTCTAATTATGTTTGTTTTACTTTTTTTATTGTAAAGATGTGGGATACACATCAGGATAAGGCACATAAGTAGTTGACGTGCAGGGCCTCCAACTGGTCCTCACTTCCCCCAGTTTAGGATCAGGTACCTTTAGTGATGTTATGTGCTCCCCCAACAGTGTCCCACTACTGTCAATCCCTCTCTTAAAGTATTGTGATAAATGTTCAGGACCCACTTACGAGTGAGAACATGTGGTATTCAGTTCTTTGTTTCTGTGATAGGTCACTGAGTATGATGGACTCTAAATCCATCCAATTTGCTGCAAAATCCTGTAATTGTATTTTTAAGTAAGATATCTATCTTTTAGAGTTATATATTAACATTAGACTGTTTACAGATGAACTTATGTAATGTGAGAGATTTGCTGTGGAAGAGGAAAAGAGGAGGTCTGGATGAAATTAGACTTGCTATGAGTTGATAATTGTTGAAGCTGGACAATGGGTGCAAGGCTACGTGGGGGCGGGAGCTCACTGTGCTACTTATATACTTTAATAGGTGTTTAACATTTTCATAATAAAATTGTTTTAAAAATCTCAGTTTCTGGCTGGGCTCGGTGGCTCAGCCTGTAATCCCAGTGCTTTGGGAGGCCAAGGTGAGTGGATTGCTTGAGCCCGCGGGTTCAAGACCCGCCTGGGCAACTTGGCGAAATCTCATCTCTACAATAAATCAAAAATTAGGCGGGTGTGGTAGCGCGCGCCTGTAGTTCCAGTTACTCGAAAGGCTGAGGTGGAAGAATTGCCAGAGCCCAGGAGATGGAGGCTGCGGTGGCCGGGAGCGGCCACTGCACTCCAGTCTGGGCACCGGAGTGAGACTCCAACTCAAAAAAAAAATCCGTTTCTGGGAATGATCGCCTTCTGCCTTTCATTTCTTGTCTTCAAAGACTTTCCCATCAGTGGCACAAGGATGAGACCTCTCATCATCTAGCAATGGGTATGGGTTGCTGTGAGTCAGCCACACTTTGTAACCAAGGTCACAGATTTGAAGACTACAGGGTAGACTTAGAGGTAGTTCAATAACATCATACATGTCTTTTCTTTTTTTTCTTTTTTTTGAGTTGGAGTCTCACTCGGTCGCCCAGACTGGAGTGCAGTGGCCGCTCCCGGCCACCGCAGCCTCGCCTGCTGGGCTCCAGCGATCCTTCCGCCTCAGCCTTCCGAGTAGTCGGAATTACAGGCACGTGCTACCACGCCTGGCTGATTTTTTGATTTATTGTAGAGATGAGGTCTCGTTGCCCAGGCAGGTCTCAAACCCGCGGGCTCACGCAATCCACTCACCTCAGCCTCCCAAAGGCGCGGGATTACAGGCTGAGCCACCGAGCCCAGCTTTTATACATGTCTTTTCTAGGGCATGTAGACATGTACTCTAGCTATGTGCTCAGAAGGAAAAGAAAATAGTTTGATGAGTACATACTATTATCTCTGCCACATCCATCCTTTTGATCATCAGATATCCATTTCACCTTTCCTCTCACAAATGGAACACCCTCGTCGTCGTCCCCAAATGCCACCCAGTCACTGCATCCAACTCAGAGTCCAGAATCTCTAGCTGTTGCACAGTCCTCTCCATCAGATCTAAATATGACTCCTCTTGATTTGGAGGAATTCCTTTATTCACTGTTCTCAGTGACCTTTCCAGGTTCCACCCATGGGAAGTTTTTTCTGTTCTTTATCCTTCTTGGCCAACTCTGAAATGGATGTTGGGGAATTTACTCTCCTCAGGGACTGCAGTTTTCACAACCTGCCTCCTGCCCAGTATCAGTGTTGTTTGTTTTTTCTCTCCAGCTACAAAAAAATAGTGTTGTTTTAAGGCTTCCCAGTCACAGGCTTTTTTAGACCAAACTCTTGCTTACTTTAGTAATACCATTTCTCCAAAACCGATCAGACGTATCTGTTTGTTTCTAATTTATTTCATGTGCCAATAACCACTCCCCTCCCAAAATTATTTCCTAGATATTGTTCTCAAATTTGTTCTATTTCTTGGCTTCCTTGCCCCTCCACACCCTTCTGTCTTAATTTAATGGCAAGAAAGTTGAGGGTACTTGGCATAATAGTCATGGTTAAGAAGTTATCACCCTTAACCTGAACTTTGTCTTAAGGTTGAGTCACTTTACTTAGTTGAGAAGAATGATTGGGCCTTGCTTGCTTAAAGTCTCAATCTTATCTCTTCCTGTTTGGTGTCTACAAGTCATGGTCCTTTGATGTCCCCCCAATTTCTGTACTCTTTATTCCTTTTCATTTCTGCTTTCAAATGGAAAATTATTTCCCTAGTTCATCTTTCTTTTAATGCCTCGTTAAATGCAGCCAACACAATAATATTGTGATTCTTTCTGACCACTTTCATTAGAGCTACAAGTTCAGTAGGCACATGGTCTACCTTTCAGTTTAACCAAATTCTTTACTGTTAACATGATTGCCATCTTTCCAGCCTTTTATATCAGTTTCCTTACCACTCACTTCTCAGCTGTTAAACCAGTGGCAGACATTGTAGCTTTTTGTTAAAGCATCACCTCACTTCATTAATAGAGTGATTAAGAGCTTGAGTTCTGGAACTGGTTCAAAACCTGTTTGTTCTACTCAGTAGCTAAATGACTTTGGGCAAAATGCTTTTCGATTCTCAATGTTAAATTTCTCATTCATTATGAAAAAGGGATTATTGTAAATATTAAATATTGTATGTAAAGTACTTAGCATAGTTCCTAGCACTTAATTAGTACTTAGTATGTTTTAGTTACTATTATCTCCCTTCAAAATCCCAGGGATGGCTCCTGCTGGGCTTTCTTTTCTGTCCTGTGTACTGCCTAGAACCTGTGAGCTCTATACAGCCTCTCCGCCCTTCAAGGAGAGAGAGAGAGACACTTTGTTGAGAGATAAGGCTCTAGAAGATAGAACTGAAGTGGCACATACCTTGGATAAAATGTTCGCTTAATTCTCTTTTTTTAATTTGTAGATTTTCCTGTTTTTAGGCATCATGTGTTTTATCCTAGCAGTTGGGAATGGAATTTGGGAGAGCAGGAAAGGCTACTACTTCCAGATTTTTCTGCCATGGGAAAAATATGTCTCTTCATCAACTGTCTCTGCCGTCCTCGTATTCTGGTCCTACTTCATAATTCTCAACACCATGGTGCCCGTTTCCCTCTATGTCAGGTAGGCGTCTTCAACTACTTTGGGTTATGGGGGGAAGAGCTGACTTCATATTTTCTGTTTAATTTCCCAAGTAAAGTGTGAATTTTTAGGAAGCATACACTGTATGCTCTTTAACTTTTGGTGTACAAAATACTCTGAAAAATATCTAGAGATTTTATAACTGCCTCCATGTTCTGAATTCTGTTTTAGATACTGTGTTGATTTATACGAAAAGAAAATTATCCCTGCCCCTCAAAAAACGTGTAATGACTAAATGAGAAATACAGACACATGAAACAGATAAAATGCACACAAATTTGTCAATGCTAAAGCATGCTTAGTTTCCCAAGGAAGATAGGTCAGGCAGTCCCTAGTTTACCAATGAGACAAGTTCCAAACATGAACTCCTAACTCAATTAATTGGAGCTCAGAATGCATGTTCCTAGAGAAACAATGTGTCAAATGGTAGATAGGTGTAATTGTGACCTAAGTTCAGTTCCTAAAAGCTGGAGAAGAGAAGAAGAACGGTGTTTCCTCTCCTTTTTCATTAGCACCTTGGACATAAATTTGAAATAGGTGAAACAAGTCTTTGCTCTGATCTTCCTTTTCTAGGTTCTGCATTTCCTTACATATACACACATGCAAACACATTTTAGTATCTTCTTTTTCAGGTTTACTATCTTTCTCTTTTTTTTTTTTTTTTTTTCTATAGTCAGTTTCCTGGGAATCTTCCAGGTTTTCTAAACCCTGTTCTGTGGCTTTTTGGCAACACTGTGTAACTAGATTACCTTATTTTATAAGTATTTATTGAGTACCTACTATATGCCAAGCACTACGTGCTAGGGATAGAAACATGAATAATAAGACAGCTCAGCCGGGCTCGGTGGCTCAGCCTGTAATCCCGCGCCTTTGGGAGGCTGAGGTGAGTGGATTGCCTGAGCCCGCGGGTTTGAGACCCGCCTGGGCAGCGAGACCTCATCTCTACAATAAATCAAAAAATCAGCTGGGCGTGGTAGCGCATGCCTGTAATTCCGGCTACTTGGAAGACTGAGGCGGAAGGATCGCCGGAGCCCAGCAGGTCGAGGCTGCGGTGGCCGGGAGCGGCCACTGCACTCCAGTCTGGGTGACAGTGAGACTCCAACTCAAAAAAAATAAATAAATAAAATAAGACAGCTCTTTCACAAGAAAAGTTTATGATGTACCTATGGAAGTAAATACATAAATAAATAATTATGGTACAATATGAAAAATTATATAATGGAAATATATATGATGTCATAGGAGCCTTGAGAAGGAATGGATTAATTCTGCCTAGATAGAGTTAGGAATGTTTATGGAAAAGCTAATAATCAAACTGATATTTGAAAAAAAGTGTAGAATTCAGCAAGCAGAATATTAGGGAAAGAATATTGCAAGCAGAAATTTCAGCACATACAAAAGTTTGGAGGTTCTTAGAAGCTTAGTTTGTTCATAGCACAGTGAATCACTAGACTAAGGTGTTGAATGGTAATTTAGGGTCAGAGCAAAAGAGCCTTAAATTCCAGGCTAAAGAGTTTGGATTTTATCCTAAAAGCAGAAAAGAGCCAGCACAGATCTTTGTAAGGAAAGAAAAAATATTAGATGTTTGGGTTTATAGAGCTCGCTATGGTGGCTGGTATGGTAAAGAACGGAAAGGGTCAAAAACTCCAAGTATAAGAATCATCAGCAAAAGGTCAGTGACAAGGGCCTGAGTACCTCCTCCTTCACCTCAAAGACAAAAATCTATGTCTCTCAATGCAGCTGTCTCAGAGAGCAATTACTAATAAAGCAGTAAGACACACAGTAAGTATGAATGATGATAGGAAGGAGGTCCCTTAAACATCTTCACTGTTTTAAAATGAAGGACTTGTTAATCAGAAAACCAAACACTACATTTTCTTACTTACATGTAGGAGCGAAATGGCCACAAAGATGGAAATAATAGATACTGGAGACACTAAAAAGGGAAGGTGGGAAGGGGAGTTAGGGTTCAAATGTTACCCATTGGGTACAATGTTCACAATCTGGGGAATAGACCGCTTGAAGCCCTGTCCCCACCAGTAAGCAGTATGTCCATGTAACAAACATGCACTTGTACCCCCCCAAATCTAAAATTTTAAAAAAGAATTGATGTATACTATTGGGAGCAGAAGTGGAGTGAGGCATAGGCAATAGGGACAATTTGTATAAAATGAGAGGAGGCTGTTGAGGGGAGGAAGCACACCACAGACAGGCTAGCTCTGTCTGGAATTTATCAGAGGGTCAGTCATAAACTCTTCTGATTTTGACAGCTTCTTCCCTTAGTATGAAACAAAGAAACTCTGAATGTGTCAAGTTTCTCTTTCTTCTCCATGTGACAGCTGCTGTAGTTCTCTAATTTGACCAACGTAGTCTTTTATAAATTAACTCTTACTCTAACAGATCTTGCATTACTGCAGAACTTCAAAACTTGTGACCTTTTCTGGGCACATTTTGGAAGAAGAAAGAATAAAAGGAGGATGTGAAGCAGAGAAATTAGTCAGGTATACCTGGATCCAGGTGATAATGCCTTGAGTGATAATGATAAGAGTCAGAATGACTCTAGGGTTGGCTGGTGGGAAAGGACCTTCAGAAAGGTAGATTCCGAAGGAAGATATTCTGCTTTTCAGATGCTGGCCCTGACCTGCCATAGTACCGGCAAGGAAGCCAGAATGAAATTTGGTTGTCCTGTTCTGACCAAGGATCATTCTTTTCTTGCTTTCTCTTTAGTGTTGCAATAATAAAATTGGGCAACAGTTACTATATCAAGTCGGATCGGAAGATGTTTTGTGCACCAAGGAACACACCAGCACAGGCTCGTACCACCACCCTTAATGAGGACCTTGGCCAGGTCAAATATGTGTTCTCCGACAAAACAGGGACCTTGACTCAGAACATCATGACTTTCAACAAGTGTTCTATTAATGGGAAGCGCTGTGGAATGCATATCTTCCTGCTTTCCCAGAGTTCTGGGGAAATTCTACTTTGCAGATGGTTTTCAAGAGTAATATAGCTCTAAATCTATAAGCCTCTGAAACTCATATTTACTTCCTATTCTCACAGCCCTTGCTATTCACCCAGCTCATTCAATTCTAACCAAAAAACATTTATTTAGCACCTCATAAATGCTATCCATTGTGTTGGGCATTGGGAATATCCAAGTGTGCAAAACGTAGTCTCTGTCCTCAAGGAGTTCCCAATGTCTTGAGGAAAAACTATATACTCGGCTCACTCTCATATTAAGTCAGATGAATCAAAAGGTACAAAGTTTTAGTTAGGCCGGAGGAATAAGTTTTCAAGATCTATTGCACTGCATGTTGGCCATAGTTAATAATGGTGTATTTGGCCAGGCTCATTTGCTCAGCCTGTAATCCCAACACTTTGGGAGGCCAAGGTGAGTGGATTGCCTGAGCCCGTGGTTTCGAGACCAGTCTGGGCAACTTGATGAGACCTCAGCTCTACAATAAATCAAAAATTAGTCGGGCACGGTAGCTCGTGCCTGTAGTTCTAGCTACTTGGAAGGCTGAGGCAGAAGGACTGCCTGAGCCCAGCGGGTTGATGCTGGGGTGGCCATGAACGTGCCACTGCACTCCAGTCTGGGTAACAGAGTGAGACTCTGACTAAAAAAAAAAAAGTAATGAAGTTTGATACATGCTACAGTATGGATGAACCTTGAAAGCATTATGCTAAATGAAATAAGTCAGACACACAAAAGACAAATATTGTATGATTCTACTTAAGTGAAAGATCTAGAATAAGCAAATTCATAGAGACAGAAAGTAGATTAGAGGTTATTGGGGGCTAAGGATGGGGAGAAATTGGAAGTTTTTATTTAAAGCAGTGTTGGAAATATATAGTGGTGATTGTTGTGCAACATTGTGAATATTATTAATGTCACTGATTTCTACATTTAGATGGTTAAAATGGCAAGTTTTTTATTATGTATATTTTGCCACAATAAAAAAAATTAAACCTTTCTTGAAAACCCTTGCTAAGTCTCTGCTCTGCTCATTTACCAATAGGAGATAACTGTGGCAAGGATGGACAAAGGATAACAGTCTCTGAGGTAAGTGATTATGGCTCCCTGGGAAATGTATGTGGGAGCTGAGTGAGGCTGTGCTAATATTAAAGCTTTTGCCAGGCTCGGTGGCTCAGCCTGTAATCCCGCGCCTTTGGGAGGCTGAGGTGAGTGGATTGCCTGAGCCCACGGGTTCGAGACCCACCTGGGCAGTGAG